GAACTTTGTGACTAAGCGTATGGTCTAATTTATGGATAGCTCTATTGTAGATACAATTGTTTGTTTTCCCAAAGAAATGCTTAAATAAAACTCACTTACTGAAAAATACCAAGCAAAAATATTATGAGAAACTTCCTCAACTTCAACGATTTTCAAATCGGTACGGCAGATGGAAAAACCTGGCAAAAACTAGTTGGGACCAGTGCCAAGTTTCCAAAGCGGCGGTTGTTAGCACGACGAACGTTTTCGAGTGAAATGGTGGCTAGATGAACATAGATGCAGTAAATCTTCGAGATAAGACTTCCAAATTCCACTGCAAACCATATTTCTAACAATCGAAAATAAAAAATATACGAAGTTATGATGTATGATATTGAGATGAAATTTTGCTATTCTGTATATATTCCTGTTATCTGTATTTTTTTAAAAGTAGCAACATGTAGTATGATCTAACAAGAGGAGGGGGGGGGGGGTTTATTGTAAATAATGTGGACTTATATAGGAATGTACTATATGCTGCAGTTTTCCCCTCCGATCGATCCCCCGTCCAATTCAAACGGGGATCGATATTACGACGGTCTGAGCCGAGGTTTGAACCCCTAGTGGTGCCCTCACACTAAAGTCGTATCCGTCAGGCAGGAGTGGCCTTCAGCCACTCCATAAGTCCTTCCGCGGGTTTGGAGTGCCATCTGCACTCGCCCCCTAACGTCCGGTAAAGCTGTTGCTTTAGAGTAGTCTGAAAAAAAAAGCTGCAGTTTCCTTATAATTGTATAATATTAAAATTCAATATAGCAGGGTTTACAGTTCAACGTCCTAAACCTATTTCTCAAATTATTTTATATAAATACTTTACAGTTTAATTATAATTCCATTATATTAAAATTCAATATGGCAGGGGGTGAAGTTCAACGTACCTTTACCTACCCAAAGCTATTTCTCAGATTAATTTGATTTGGTAACAATATAGATCCATCAATGTTGAGATAATTGGAATTGAAGTTTAAACTTTTTAACTAGATTTTTATAATTCGTTATAAACTTGTTTACTCTTCGGAGTAAACAAAAGAATCAAATATATATATATATATATACTAATATTAGAAATGATAAAGTGTGCCCTCTGTCTGTCTCTTTGTTATGTTTTCACAATTAAATAGTCCAACTAAATAATTTTGAATTTTAATAAAATTTAATCTATAGAAAGGCTTTTTTTCAGAACATTTAAAAGAGAACAATTTCGTCATAATATACATACGTTTACTCAGCGCACGGAGCGGACGCACTTAAGATTTTTGGTCACAATTCTCATTGCTGCTCCGCTCCTATTGGTTGTAGCTTGATGTTATATAGTCCATAGCACTCGTGGATAATACTTTTCTAACAGTGAAAGATTATTTTATATCGGATCAGCAGAACCAGAGATTACCCGGAACAAACAATCATACAAACTTTACCTCTACATAATATTTTATTAGTATAGATTCATACGACATTTCGCAAATATATTTTACCGCTAACACTAGTATAAATATTTCATAAGTGAGTTTGTTTCGCGCCATGATTACGGTTTATGCTCTGTATCTCCTAAAGCCGATGTAACTCCCGTTTTATATGCGATACGCAAATGCGTTATCACGTGTCTATTGTATGAATTTCACGACACAGCGAGCTGAGTGCTGCCACTGACAATATTTATTTTGCCAAGCACCGTTTGAATAAAATGTATTGACAATATATATGTATTGTATTGGTGAGAGAAGAAAGGGAAATGAACGTAATGTTTGGATTTGATATTGATCAATAATGATTATGTTGTTGTTGTAATGTTTTTTTTTATGTTCGATTTTATTAGGGACTTTTTTCTTTTATATTTATACTAGTTTATTATAGTGCTTTATATAACGTAAAAATAAAATTAATGTTGTACTTTAGCATCTGCCAAGCAGTTTGCTCTTTGTTTCAAGCGTTTTGATTGGAGGGCTAGATATGGCTGTAAATCTATAGATAGATCGAGATAGATAAGTATTGTTATTTGTATCTTAGTATAAACGTATACGTTTCCTTACAAGTAATATACACTATAGAACACTTAAACCAATGCAATAGAATATGGGTAAACTATTGCATGTGTGTGCCATAGCAGTAAAAATGGTTCAAAGCTCAGCGTGGAGAATTACTCGAGGAGAAAAACATAGTTTTTCAGCTATGTCTTCGAGGGTGAATGAACTATTTAAATTAATTCGCAAACAATATAAAATAAATAAATAATAAAGGAACTTGGAAGTTGGAGATGCAAATTGGATTAGCAGATTATTATTAATACTGAGATGTCATTGTGTATAAATGTTATTAAATATATATAAATAGTATAAATGGGTATGCAGATGTGTAAAAAAAATGTGTAGTAATATAAAAAACGAAAACTGTGTATATGTTTTAAGGAAAATAACTAATTACGACCACATTATGGAATCATCTTCCAGCAATAGTATTTCCGAATCGATACGATATTGAAACCTTCAAGAAAAGAGCTTTTTCCTTTTTAAAAGGCCGACAATGTACTTGCAATTCCCTTGGTGTTGCGGGTGCTCATGGGCGGCGGTAATCAATTGCCATCAGGTGAGGGGCATGCTCGTTTGTCCCATGTGTTATAAAAAAATAAACTAGAATGCTATTTCGCTCTGTTACCAGGACAATTTAGTTTATGTTGCTGTAATAATAGAGTATGAAGATGTTACATAATTCTCGGGTAGTGCAATGCATGAGGGGTACGAAGGCTGTCATATGTTCTATGGTGCTCTTCATGTATATAGGCGATAGTTGTCACTTAACATCAAGTGAGCCGGCTCCTTTGAGATTTCAACTATGTACATAAATCATTGAAGTGCTAGTCAAATTTGCGCTCCTAAGGTTTTTCTTACTACCGTGAGGTGAGCCGACAGCTTCATTGATCTTTTTGTAACATTAATAAAAAAAATCATTGAAGTGAAAACCGGATTCGCGCCTCAAGTATTTTTTAAATAACTGTTATCTATTTTGAAATCTCAACCATCAACTGACATTTTATTATTTTGTTTATTACATTATGATTGGTATAATAGTATCTAAAAATAAAACAAATTCCAGAGCGTTTGATCAATAGGCTCTAAAATATAGCACCGCAATAGACAGACAGACAAAGTTACGCTATTACGATTCTACTTTATACTTTCTATTCGGAACTCTAAAACTAAAAAAATAGTAATGTACTGTTAAAGTAGAGCGCAGCGATATATATTCATCCGTTTTAAGATCCGGCCTAGATCGTCGGTATCCAGACCTTTTGTCTCCGAGTGGCCTTTACCTGGAAGATAGCAGCTTACACTGACACATTTATATTCTTAATATATTACACAGAACATTCTAGATTCTTTATTTAAATTTAGTAGGCCAATTGCGTAGGTCTTAGAATTGCATACAGTCACTTCTATTTGACAGCATTCTGAATCGAGCAGCCAGAATCATTGGTAATCAACATCTTTGTGACAGATACGACATTTGCGGAGAGATTGCATCTCTATGCATTTTCTACCAGAGGGTGTCACGTATAACGAAGAGTATTCTGAAGAATTTTTGACTGTCAGAAACTAAAATACCATCCTGATCATCTGTATGGCGGTCGTCCACAGTGTATTTTAAATTTTGTCACGTTGTGGAGTGTGTCAATCGATGCCGACCACATCGCATCACAATTACATGTGGAATCACCTTCCAGCAATGGTATTTCCAAACCGATACGGTATTGAAATCTTCAAGAAAAGTACTTACACTTTCTTAAAAGCCCGGCCACGCATTTGCAATTCCCGTGGTATTGCGCGGCTGTAATCACTTATCATCATATGAGGTTATATGCCTTTTTTTTATAACACTGGGGACAAACGAGCAGGCAGCTCACCTAATGGTAAGTGATTACCGTCCCCCAACATCCGCAACACCAGTGGAATGGCAAGTACGTTGTCGGACTTTTAAAAAGGAATAAGCTCTTTTCTTGAAGGTTTCAATATCGTATCGGTTCTGAAATACCATTTCTGGAAGGTGATTTCACAATGTAGTTGTGCGTATTATATACATTATTTTTTAAAACTACAATGGTATCACACAGGCATACCATTGTAGTTTTAAAAAATAATGTATCTACAGACAAAGGAGTTTGTATAAACCGTTAAGTTTTGAGTTTATCCGTTTCAAAAATATCAAATGTTTCCGTTTTATAGTATTAGTATTCTGTAAACAAAGAATAAAATTTCCCTCTTTCAAATATTAGTTTCGATAAGTTGTAACTTTGGAAGCCATTTCACCGATGCAAATAGGTTTTAAATTACTAAAAAGGTTTGGCGACTGCGAAGGTAAAACTCGCAGATCACAACTTTGTTAATCAGATCGTATTTCACTTTCTGTGTTCGGTTTCCATTTGTTCTTTTGCAGAAAATAGATTAACCACCGTAAAATTAATGAATTGTAAGAGTATACTCTTACAATTCATTAATTTTACGGTGATCTAGCGGTTTAGTACACCGCACTACTTGTTACGGTCGTGGGTTTGTTTACTGTAAAAGTTTTTATCATACCTGAAATAGTTGTTAATTTGAAAAGGAAAGTTGATTTTTATGGAATGGCAAATAAGCTTTAATATATACAGTGTTATATATATGTTTATATAATGCATCTATTGTAAATAAGTATATAATTACATCATATAATTAAAATAAGCTAATTGAAAAATAACAAATGAGTATAATGATATTCTCTATACCAACATACCATCTATATATCCTGTATACCATTTCAAATTTATAATATATAAATAAAATAGAACAGAAAATAATCATTACAAAAAATACGCTATTTCTATTTGGTCTATTATTGTCTCTACAGCCACATTTCCAAGTTCTTATCCAATCAGTTATAATTTGGAATTTGAAATTACTGTGAATCTTACACTATGAATTTCTTTGTTTCAGGTGTCCGAGAAATGAAACGGAAAAGGTGTAATAGTACCTCAGGCGTCGCATGGTGACGTGTGTCTCGCTCTAACCATGTCCCTAGACGACGTCGCCACTATGCGCTACGTACTCTTCTGTCTTCTGTCCTTATCTTTCAATAGGAACCTCGCGTTTGTGCTCGACAAACAAAACCCATATTCGCAGTTCCGTAAATGGAACGCGGGGTTGAATGGCACACTCGAATTGGAATTTAAAACTGACCAGCCCAACGGTTTACTTTTGTATACGGACGATGGTGGCACTTACGACTTTTTCGAACTAAAATTAGTGAATGGTGCGTTGAGATTAAGGTACAATCTGGGCGGCGGGGCTCAGATTATAACGGTCGGGAATAATCTCAACGATGGACACTGGCACAAAATTCAGGTGAGCACTTTTTCTGACCATTTAGTTATGGTCCGCGATATTTTCTCATAATGAAGTGTCGGGATAGGATAATAACCGCTAATAAAGTTATATTATTGTGGGCCAAGGTTATTTGATCCATAAAGTTTGTTTAAAGTGGACCGATCACAAAAGTAATTACAACTTGTATAAAGTGATCATTTAAAAAACATGATTTATGTAAACAATAGCAGCCATGTTCATCACCTTATAATTTATTTTGAAAATACAGAATTTATTCGAAATCTTCTCTTTGGCAGTAGCTGGCTTTTACAACATCACTGACAGATATAGGGCGCGTGCAGATGGCACTTCGAAAGGACTCGAAGCCTAGTGTTGACTGTTCAGCGACCAAACTACTTCCGAAATAGTTGGCGTTGAATAGTCAACTCTAGGCTTCAAGTTCTTTGAGATCAGTATCTATTTGGAGTATATAAATCCTAATCATTACCTGATGAAACAAGTGTCGCAATATAAAGGTGTAGATCTAATAACAGTCGTTTTTTGATTACCAATGGGGAAGGTCATCAGGAAGGTCATCAGGATTCCAACAGCTGTGGCCAGATTTCGCACTAAATATTTGTGATCTCAAAGGGGACTGGCTGATATATTATGATAAAAGTCCCTTAATAAATATAAGAATAAAAAAAAAAGATGCTAATAGTAATGAAATTAAACAAAACAACACAAATCCAAGCAATAAAGCAGTATGGTCGTTGCTCTTTGAATTTTTATTATTTTAATCTACGTCTGTGACCATAAACTAATTTGTATAATCTATGCAGGTGGCGCGTCGTGACGAGCACACGTCACTCACGGTGGACGAAGCTACACAGAGCAAAACGTCCAGAGGCAAGGAGTTCGCATTTGGAAAATTCAACACCAATTCCGACGTCTTCGTTGGAGGAATACCGCCATCGTGAGTACATTTTCTTTTTAATCAAAAACTCATCATTATTTAAATGTAATGGATAGAAATGACTCAATTGAAGACTTAAAATACGGTGTTTTCGAAAACGTACGAAAAGAAAAAAGAAAAACAAAAATTCTATAAAAAGAAAGGACGATTTGTAGAAGGAAGAAGATATTTCGCCTGGGAAGAACTGCTTCCCAGTTTTTCCAAAGCAAACGTTTGATCTGATCCAATATTTAACCAATGAAATACACAATTTCATGCGAATCTTTTAGTTAGTTAGGTAATAAACACATTGCCTTCATTACATTACTAGAACATTCTTTCAAATTAGAGGTAGCCAATTTTCCATAAGAAAGACGACGATCAAATGTTAATTAAAAGTCGTAATTGCTAACCAAAGTGTTACGGTAAACCAGAATTAGTTACACAAAATAGGACATCACGAAACTATGCTGGAAGTTCTAGGACTCCAGTGGTGTTTACTTTCAGCATTCCAGAACTTTAGGGTACAAGATCTCAGACCCAAAATCCATGTATTGTCCAATTTGATTGTTAAGTTCTGTAATTAAACCGAGGTTAATTGTACTCTGAGTTAATTGCCACAAAGTTAACATAATAACAGGGGACTGGAAAAACATGCGGTGAAGTTGGGGCGGTCTTGTTCAAGTAAATGAAATTTTGTGAAACCCTTAGCTCGTATGTGACGCTTGCTTATAAAAACATAAGATTCCGTAATTAATCGATGACCAGCTTATCGATACTGCCGTGTATATATGACACTATTATGGAAATGGCTAATGAAATAGTCTAACACTAGAACGTATAAGAAAAACATTATGAATGTCTTAAAATACTTTTTAAGTGATGTAATTATTGATGAAAAAGTTATGGTTTTGTATCTTGTAATTTACTGTTATATTTTAGCCTTCTAATTGTTATACCCGTAATACATATAACGGTTATAATTTGGTGAAATAAAGGTACCGTAAGTACAAACAATCTGTCACACAATAATATCTACACAGCGCCATCTAGTCCTATACTAGAGCTTGTGTTATGGATACTAGATAACTGATACAATACAAAAAAAATGTTTTTTTATATATATATAAAATATCCAGACCGATATAAACAATCATACTTATGAATACAAATATTTGAACCTAGCGAGGTATCGAACCCACTATATCGATAATTTGAGGTTTAGGTGCTGTAACTAAACATTTAGACTACCGATGCCGACAGTCTCTAGTAAAATTGTGGAGACATGAAGTTGTTCTAGAAAATTCGTTGAGAAAAGACGTTGCTTCTGTAATGAAGCTCTTAAAACCAAAAGATTAACATGTCTGTAAGTTGCCATCGAACCACTTCTAAATGTTTGTCACGCTTGCTTTTATTGATATTCACGACGCTCATCCCTTTGTAGGAGGTTCTGTAACACGAGGCCTATTAGACTTACACGCGTGTCCTGCATTTCAATAGCGTATACAGCTCATTAACGTGCACCTGCCAGTACTTACTTATTCGTTTATTCTTTTCAGGTAGGAAATTTCTAGAATAAATATTTTTTTCACGAGAAGGCGTCTTTTTTTAGAATTCTGCAAACATTAAATCGAAGTGATGTACTAGAAAGAATATAGAAAATCCTTTATTCAAATAAACGTAATTTAAGCACTTTTGAATGGTCATAATTATACTTTCTCTAATCTGCCGCTCATTCGGTAAGCTGTCTCATAACAAGAATAACAACTTGCGTGTTGCTCTTTTAAATAATCGTTTTAACTTTACCTTTTTAAGTCGAATGTGTGAATACAACTGGCACTAATAAATTATTATGATTAATTATTAAATATAGCATATAACATTAAATATAATTAATCAGTCGTAGTGATAAGAGCAAAGAGAACACCTAAACGAAGGAAACCATTTCGGTTGTCTTCTGTTGAGTTGTCCTTTTATAAAGAAGCAGGATATAGGGAAACTATTTTACCGCAGTAAAGTTTGTTAAAAGTCATGTAGTAGGGTAGGGTAAGGTAGGGTAACTTGCACTTCCGAACCGATACGATATTGAAACCTTCAAGGAAAAAGCTTATTCCTTCTAAGGCCAGTAACGCACTTGCTATTCCCCTGGTCTTACGGATATTCCCCTGCTATTCCCCTGGTCTTCATTGTAAGCGATTACGGCTCATGGGCGGCGGTAATCGCTTACAAACAAGTGAGCCACAAGCTCGTGGGGGACAAACCCATGCTATATAAAGAAATACCATATCTCATCTGGCAGTGAAATTACGTGGGTAAGTAAAGTACGGGTACATATTTCTGAGTCCTCTTTAATGGCAACGCATAAGGGGTACTAAAGGCGTCACATTACGACGTGATTTTCGTGGTCCTATTTTTGCCTACAGATTAGATGTTAATAAGAAATGGTCTGCCTTCTTTTTCTATTTAAATTAAATAAAAATAATAGCTAATTTTAGTTAGAAACTCTTGACCTTTACAAATTATGCTGGTAATAAAAATACCTTATAGAGTAATGTTGTTAATAAGGTGAGCAGCGTAGGCTGCTACGGTGTACGTAGCAGCCTACGCCGTAGCTTCTACGCTGGAGTCTCTACGAAAACTGTAGCTACGTAAGTTTCGTAGCGCTATCAAGTATTTGTTTCGTTCTAATACGAGATACCTAGTACAGTATAAAGAGAAAAAAGATATGATATGAATTTGAACAAAGTAAATTCTAGTCTCTCTACTCAGTAGAGTATATCTATACAATATACATATAAATAAAATTGGAGTGTCTGTTTGTAATATTGAAATAACCATTTTTTACTACAGGCATATGAATATACATACGGCACATACACCGAAATAACACGTTTTACAATTTTTGTCTGTTTGTTTGTTCCGGCTAATCTCTGAAATGGCTGGACCGATTTTGACGGGACTTTTATTGGCAGGTAGCTGATTTAATAAGGAGTAACTTAGGCTACTTTTATTTTAGAAAAATAAAGTCAAGTTCCACGCTGACAAAGTCGCGGGTACAGCCTAGTAAGAAATAAATTTAATTAAAGAAATGCTGTGGACGGTGTGCCAGCTCAACTGGTTTTTATTACAGTAGTACTTAGTGAAATGTTGGAATGTCAAATGTTACATTTACCAGAATCTCGACAATTGACAATGCCCTCTGGCTACCTAATCTTGTATAACAGTCGTAAAGGAATGGATAGGCATATATTGTGTATAGCCTTAAAGAGATTTTTAATAAATAGACTGTATATTAAGTTATATTATGTTGCTAATAGTAATGTAGTGAACATAATTATGACCACGCGTGTCTTCGAAGCTGCTTGTGGTAGCATTGAAGATAGGCCGTGTGATATATATAAATTCAGTGAAGAATTAAGAAAATTAAAAAATAAAAATAAATTTAAGAAAGAGTGCACACAGAAATTATATGTATATATATACTTTATTGCACTTTTAAATACATGTTTTGAATATATGTTACAAAATTATATACCTTTTAAGAAGTGAAAGAATTTCCCAAATCAGGACATTAGTTCTGATTAACCGCCCTCTCTCTCGCTTATTCCTTCTAAGGCCGGTAACGCACTTGCTATTCCCCTGGTCTTCCCCTGGTCCCCTGGTCAAAATTATATACCTTTTAAGAAGTGAAAGATTTTCCCAAATCAGGACATTGCTTCTGATTATCCGCCCTCTCTCTCGCTTATTCCTTCTAAGGCCGGTAACGCACTTGCTATTCCCCTGGTCTTCCCCTGGTCCCCTGGTCAAAATTATATACCTTTTAAGAAGTGAAAGATTTTCCCAAATCAGGACATTGGTTCTGATTATCCGCCCTCTCTCTCGCTTATTCCTTCTAAGGCCGGTAACGCACTTGCTATTCCTCTGGTCTTCCCCTGGTCCCCTGGTCAAAATTATGTACCTTTTAAGAAGTGAAAGATTTTCCCAAATCAGGACATTGGTTCTGATTATCCGCCCTCTCTCTCGCTTATTCCTTCTAAGGCCGGTAACGCACTTGCTATTCCCCTGGTCTTCCCCTGGTCCCCTGGTCAAAATTATATACCTTTTAAGAAGTGAAAGATTTTCCCAAATCAGAACATTGGTTCTGATTATCCGCCCTTTCTCTCGCTTATTCCTTCTAAGGCCGGTAACGCACTTGCTATTCCCCTGGTCTTCCCCTGGTCCCCTGGTCAAAATTGTATACCTTTTAAAAAGTGAAAGATTTTCCCAAATCAGGACATTGGTTCTGATTATCCGCCCTCTCTCTCGCTTTGTAATATTCACGAGGACCTCGTTTTGTAAGTGGGTAGAAAATCACTTAGATCCATAATAATACGAATTGTTGTCAGTGCTATTTATAAATTATTCATGACCATTACGCTTTCATATCATTGGGCCATTTTCAAAATTGTCCTAATTGCTTTGGACCACGTGAAAAGTGTTACGCTACGAATAAATAATAATTATTCGTTTGCGTGTTTGCGCCGCTCTTTCGGTGTAAATCACAAGATATAGCGTTTGCGATAAAGCTGTCAGAATTTATCTTGACTATTTTTAATGGATGATAATGGAATTGTGGACCCGCCTGTGTTAATGGTATACGCTGGTGGGGCACCAATGAAGGCTGATAGTATGAGCATGAAATTGGGCCGGTTAACCCATCGTGATGAATTCACCAGGAATTAACTACAATGGTTTCAAGGAAGGGGGACCGTGTGGAAGTCAATCTAACACAGTAAATTATTAGCAACGGGGTTACTACACCCCGTTACTAACAATCCTTTCTCCTGGCTGTCTTATCGCTAATGAAACCTCTTCCAGACAACCTTTTGAAAGAGAGTATTTATAAGAAAGAATAGAATAGGATAGAATAGAATAGAAAATCATTTATTCAAATAAACTTACATTGAAGTACTTTTGAATAGTCATAACATTTTTTTTTTAATCTACCGCTCATTCGGAATGCTGTCTCATCACAAGAAGAA